TCAAGTGTGTTGACATATACGCGCGCGCGCGTGTGTGTGTGTGTCTGAGACAGAGAGAGAGAGAGAGAGAAACGGTGGTACATCTTAATCCTCTGGTAGAACGAAATGTGGTGATAGCGATTCAGGAAGACTTTAGCTTGGAAATTTGAGACCCTTAAAGAGATGGGAAGTATGAGAGAAAACCTGCTCCTCATTTTTAAGAATAAAGTAAAAAATGTTTCCTTTCCCTGTTCTTCAGTTAAATAGTAACAGGTAGGTGGGTCATTCAGCTAACCATCATTTTCAAACTATTAAAAGGATCTTGGATGTCTATGAATTTGTATTAATTTTAAAATTAAGTGTGCGTAATAGTGGATTGAAAAATGATTTTACTTCATAGCAACCTTTATTTCCCTAGCAGTACTCTTGCAGTAAAACTATTTGTGTCCAAGCTCCTAACCAGTTTTAATGACATTATAATGTCTTCAAAATGTCTTCTTTGAAAAACATCTTTTCCACTCCCTGCCAAAATAAATCACCTCGTTATCTAAAAGAATTATAAAAGAAGCATTTCTACGTTCAACAGAGCATTAAATTAACATTTACCATTAAGAAGACAACCTAATCAGCCATCACTGAAGTATTGTTTTCAATGATGATTGAGAAAGGAGCAGTACATTTTGAGAAATGAGGGATTCCATATACAGCAAGCATGTGCTCCACATTCAGCTCAAATGGAGACTAACAATGTATAAGAACCAACTGGGTGAGGCGGCTGATTTGCTAAAAAAGCTGTTCTCTTCTCTGCCTTTTGCTTCCTCTGGAGTCCAGCTGCCTTTTCTGTTTCCCATCTTGTATCCATAGCCTTGTTGCTCTGAGCAAGGACCTTCAGCTTGGAGAAAGGAAGAGCAGCAATAATAGAAACAAACCTTTCTGCAAAGGTATTGAAAGTTTCTAAAATAGCCAGATGACATGCTGCAGGGGAAGGGACAGTAGCGATGTTGCAGTGGCTCACATCATAAAATAGAAACTCTAGGCAACTGCAGCTGTGAAAAGATTGTGTTAAAGAAACAGGATGACTGTGGTTTACTGTGAGCATCAGTTTTCCTGTTGAGCATTTTTTACAGGAAGTTGAAGAACAAAGCCAAATTCATCTTAATTAGTTCTAATGGTTTTCAGATCTTAAATACATCCAGCTAAGTTTGTATCATGGAGGAGTCTCAAAAGAATGGAATCAAGAATAATTGAGTAGGAATCCCAAAACTACATGCTTTTTAAAATTCACCGTCTTAGCAGCAATTTTGAGCTTGTGCGATGATTTTATTTTTGCAGGGTAACTTGGAGGGAATTCGCTGTCTTTGAAATGAATGCCCTTGCAATTATTTTTTATGGTTGTAATAACTCAATATGAATTTTAAAACCTTTTCTCAGGAAAATGCTGTTGTGTTAAATGTATTATATATTTTCTTCTGTTAATATTTTTTGTTCAAACAATTGGGTGTATGTGTGCAACACAGAGAGAGAGAGGGAAGGAGAGACAGACGTACATGTACTTATAAGCCAGAAGGACGTGTATCAAAATAACAGAGTTATCTCTGGTTGTTACCCCCAACCCTTTTTTACCTAAAATTTAATTCTTATTCAATGCTTCCTTCAGTGGTTAAACACAACTTTAGTGCTTTTATTTTCATCTTTGTATTTTTGTATTCTCTACAATACAAAAGGAGAAAAAGAAATCTCGAAGGAAACAACAAAAAAACTAACCTGAAGAAGCCAAAAGCACACAAGAAATATATACATGAAAATGAGTTAAGAACATTATATATAAAGCAAAATATAGATCAGTTCAGGCCAGTGACTCATGCCTGTTATCATAGCACTTTGGGAGGCTGATGCGGGCAGATCACTTGAGGTCAGGAGTTTGAGACCAGCCTGGCCAACATGGTGAAACCCCATCTCTACCAAAAATACAAAAATTAGCCAAGTGTGATGTCACACCTCTGTAATCCCAGCTACTCAGAAGGCTTAGGCAGGAGAATTGTTTGAACCCAGGTAGGTGGTGGAGGTTGCAGTGAGCCAAGTGTGCACCACTGCACTCCAGCCTGGGCAACAACAGAGCCAGACTCTGACTCAAAAAAATAAATATAAATGTAAATAAAAATAGAAAATAATGAGAACAAGAGAACAGTTGGATTTCTGAATCCGTCCAATTATTTTATTTCTGATTCCCTTCCCTGCCCCATATACACACAATTGTTTGACCAAAAAATATTAACAGAGGAAAATGTATAATACATGTAATGCAACGCTGTTTGCCTGAGAAAAAGTTTTAAAATTCATATTGAGTTATTACAACCATAAAAAATAATTGCAAGTGTATTAATTACAAAGACAGTGAATCCACTCCAAGTGGAATCCAAGAGGAATAAAATATTCCTCTATTGATTCAATCTTTTTGGGGGAAACAAGTTTAATTTTCCACCATTCATTTTAGGTATGATAGTATTTAAGGGTTACTTTTAGCAAAATGTATAGAGCAAAATGCTTTGTATTTTTAAATAGTCCAAATTAATGATAAACATCACTGGATAAAGCTGCTGCTTCTCTAATAGAACCCCTCCCCACATGGGATTAAAGACAGGCCTTCTAAGAACTGTCCGTGTGTTCACTGGGGTACTGTTAGGAATCATGCCCCACCTCGTGTCATTCTTTAGTGTGGGCCCTAGGCAGTGCAGTCTAGAATGAATTTTAAGTTGGCTATGAAACTAAGAAAGAGTTTATTTAAATAACTGCCCATTTTCTTGATCCCAAGGAGGGCAATCATTTTATATTCAGGGATGATTCTGCTTTCCTAGATGAGCACACTGAAGAAGAAACCATGAGTTTCCTCAGGCATGTCTGGACCAAACTGTGAGCTTTGGTTGACCTCTGGTTGGCCGTGCCATTGAGGCGAATGTGTCCTCTGTACTGCTGGGGAGTGGGCTGAGCAGTTCTCTTTCTCTCACAGTGCTCCTTGTAGCCAACATTGCATGTTTAACGAAACGAGTGGGTCCAGGCTCCAAGATGCCCTAGGTGATCTGGGATCAGTGAATGTTGTCTAAATGTCAGTGTTAAACCATGATGTTGACCTAACACCATTCTAGTACGGCCAACGATGCCAGCCATTTCATTCACAGAATGAAGTAGGAAGTCCAGAATTTCTGAAAGTTGGGGTGGGGTGCGTGTGTGCACGTGCACACGTGTGTGTCTGTGTAGGCAACAAAGAACCAGTGATTAAATTTTTAAAAGTAATTTATGCAAATTATTTCACTCTGTTCTGTCAACCCATAAAGCCAATTCCTTATGAAAGGTTTATTGGTAGATCCCTCTCCTGACTTCAGTTATTTTTACCTAAAATTTGATGATTTTTGAATAATCCATTCACTTATTAAATAAACCTTTGGCAGTCACATACTCTAGAGTTCTGGCCGATTTTTAAACTTTTTAATGTATAACAGTCCAGAAATACCTTGGTGAGAAATAAGTTGATGGGTAGTTTATTCAAAGGCCATTATCTTACTGTTTCCACAATGGATAATAGACGAACGTATGTTGTTAAAGCAATGTGTGTTAGTTTGCTAGTACCACCATAATAAAATGCTGCAGCCTGGGTAGATCAAATAACGGAAATTTATTTTCCCCCAGCTCTGGAAGCTAGAAGTCCAAGATCAAGGTGTAGGCAGGTTTGGTGTCTTCTGAGGCCTCTCTCCCTGCTTTGCAGGCGACCACTTTCTCACTGCCTCTTCACTTAGCCTTTCCTCTGTGTGAGCACATGCCTGATGCCTCTTCCTCTTTGTATGAGGACACCAGTCAGCGTGGATTAACATCTCACCCAATGGCCTCATTTTAGCCTAATCACCTCTTTAAAGACCCTACTTCCAAATACGGTTGCCTTCTGAGGTCCTGGGGGTTAGGAATTCAGCATATCAGTTTGCAGGGGACATAGTTCAGACCATAACACTGTGTGTGAAAACAAGAGCTTTTTCTATCCCTTGGGTTTTCTTTGTGCCTATAGAATTTAATACAACAGGTAGAGATTTTAGAAAGTCTAGCTTTTCTCTCTATGATGAAAGTTACTTAAACACTGAAATTATTCTTAAAAAGAAATTAATTCTGAAAAGTGTGTCTTCTTAAAATTTCATTGCCTGGATTGGGGTTGGGTGGGAGGACAAGGCCCAGCAAGCAGGTAGACATGTGATCCAACACTGCGGAGAGCCCAACTAAGCTGGGGAGCCAGACACGAGCACAGGGGATTCTGATGCAGGAGATGACTGACCACACTGGGGAAACTGCTGCTGAGTCCTTTCCCTTCTTCTTGGGCCTCTCCTGCCCCTGAGTCAGCTGCATTTTCTGCCATGCGGCCATGTCCAAGGGAAGTACCAAATGCTGGGAGGCCCCATCATCAGTTGGCCTTATTCCCAACCAGGCAGATCCACCCACAGCCGCTGAGCAAAGCCACGGCCCCTCAGACCAGACTCCAGGTCCATCCCTCCTCTGCCAGTCACTCAGCAACTTGCACCAGCAGGACCCATCCTCACCCTCCAGAAGGACAGATCTAAGCTCTGTCCACCGACGGCTTTGCTCTCTCAAGCCATGCTGAAAGCCTTGTATACACCACTTCATTTAATCTTCCCGGCAACTCCCCATTTAACAGACAGAAGAAACAGATTCCCATCTGAATCGGCCAGTTGGCAGAGCAAGGATACAGAACCAAATTTGCCTGACCAAGGTCTCATGTTCTCCCCTTTTCATTCTATAAACCAAACTGGTAAAGCCAACAGGACTCCTTTTTTTGTTTTTTTTTAAAATTAAATTAAATTTATTTTTAGACATAAAGGGCTTGCTTTGTAGCCCAAGCTGGTCTTAAACTCCTGGGCTCAAGCAGTCTTCCCACCTTGACCTCCCAAAGGGCTGGGATTACAGGCGTGAGCCACCAATCCAGCCCTAAAGGGTCCCTTTTGTATCTGTATTTAAATGCATAAAATAAAATTGAATTACAAAGGAAACTATTAAAATATGTACTTCTTTATTAATGGCTTAAACAACAAGATCTAGCAACAGATCTAAATGTTGCCAGAATGTTCAAAATTGTTGATGTGTAGTTGTAATATAATGTGAAAATGTCATGTGAAAACTTGGTGAAAGAATATCAGATATTGTAGTTTGTGGCCTACATTCATAAAAAAAGGAAATGCTACATTTCAGTTAGTGCTTAGTAGAAATAATATGTATTTTTTTTTATCCACATTCATGAATCCTTGAATTCTGTCCACAGACTCTGGGTGTGAGGAAGCAGCAGGGATGCCTGGTCTGTTAGGGTCCGTGCTTTGGCCTTCAGTAAGATTTGGTTCTGGCTCTGATGCGGGCTGCTACGTCCATGGGAGGAGGGAAGCCCTTCTCTCCCATGGCCTGGGAGCTCTACTTCTCTGGGGAAGTTGGGGGCTGCCAGGAAAGTAAGTCTCAGTATGTAACACCAGCAAGCCCCTCTGAAGTAGGGCTGATCTTTTGCCCAGGTCTCATGGTGCACTGGGGTGATGCCGGGAGCCCTTCCAGTGGCAAGCACTCGGCTTGTTTGTGCGATACATAGTTCTCACTGCACACATATTTAGTAAGAACCCGACTTCGTGCCAGGTGTTGGCAAGACCCGGTGGAGTCCATAGGCTAGTAGAAAGACAGCTAAGAATCGGGCCAGGCATGGCTGGTGGACCCACTGTGGGGGCACACGAGCTTGGTCTTCTTTGATCCAGGGGCTGAGTGAGGTGGCAAGACTGGAGTCTGGGGTTTCTCACATACTTCCCTTGAGGCCCCAGGCTGGAGAAGTGCAGACCATGCCCAGCAGCTGTTCAGCTATAAAGGAGGAGAAAAGATGAAAGTTACTTAAACACTAAAATTATTCTTAAAAAGAAATTAATTCTGAAAAGTTAATTTTTCAGCCTCCCTCACCTACATAACCATTGAGATTAGAAAGGAGCAGTTAATCTGAAGGAAAGTGAGAGATGGGGCCAGGGAAAGCAAGCCGTGCAAACAGAAGTCCACAGAGGACGAGAGGAAAGAGCACTTAGTTCTGTACCAGTCTCGGAAAAGTGAGAGCCCTCACCCACAGACCCTCTCTCCACTGTCTGTCTGAAGTGGCCAGGAGGGAAAAGCTGCACTTCTTTCAATACCCCAGATCCTTTAATAGCATCTTTCTCCTCCCTAAACTTGGTTTTGCCTACGAATTTCTGCAATCTGGCCTTGGCCCTGGCCCCAGCCACGACTGTTGCCGTTTCTCCCACACTAGCCCTCTGGACCCTGAAGTTAGCACAGTCCTCCCTGGAGTTGTCATCCAGAAGTTAATATACAAGTCAGTTAGTGCACAGACAGTACTAAAACAGCAGCAACAGAGAACTGTAAAATAATTAAGGAGGGCTTTCAGGGTGGCAGTCCCTGAAAGGGTTCCCATTCCACAGTCTGGCCCCTAAGCTGTGCAGGACAGAAGTTCAATTTGATCTCAGCTATGAGAGGCAACTCTTGACAGCCACAGCCATAAGAGGTTCCTGTTAGTTGATAAGAATATCCACTCCTTCCTAGATATTAGGATCACAGCGTGACAGAAAGTTGGTTGATGAACATGGAGTCAGACAAAATAGAATCTTGAGGGACTTTTCATCCACCAAGCATGTGGATGCAGTGTTCCCAGAGCCCATCTCTTGGGCCCACTGGGCAGACGAGGCCATCCCCCTTCGTTGGTAAACCTTTCCCAGCTCTGATCATACCATTGATTTGGCTCCAGCATCTTTCGCAGTAGTCAAGCCTGAATTCAGTTTCAAATCCCTATCCTTCCTTCCTGGTCCTAGGAGAGATCTGACTCCAAGGCCTCTGAGTATGCCGCTGGAGATCCCCCTTGATGTAGGACACCCTAACACAGGCACCCAATCCTGCTTACAGAGCCCATTTGGCCCCATGGGTAACCTATTAGTGTCATGCCAGAAAGAGCAATTTAAGAAACATACTTTAAAAGAATCATGGCCTACAACAGTCTCTTACTAAAAAACAGATTCCAGTGTAGGTAGCAGGTAAGCTGTGGCACTAATTCACCTGCCCGAAAGTGCTTATTAGATCATTAAAAGGGCAGTGAGTGAGTGAGGCAGCGTTATCCAGCAGAAGAGCAAGAACCAAAAGGATGAGATTGAATGAATTGCCTCAAGGTGTTTTAGGGAGTGACTTAAGTTCTCTGAGGCTATCAAATGAGCACAGATGGCTTCCAGTGTCTTAGGAGTCAGAGACCACACAAGGAGAGAGCCCTGAATCCAGCTGATTGTCTATGCAGGAGAGCTGCTGTTGCTGCTGGGAAATTTAAACTTTTCATTTTCTAGACAGCCCACTTTGAATTTGGGACTCTTCTCAACTGTCTTAATTCTTGCTTCCTGGTGGCCGTGACAAGTCCAGCAGTGGCTTTTTAGCTTTTCCAGTCCATTTCTGTTGACAGAAAGCAAACCATCCAGCATTATCTCAAGAAAAGTATTTGTTTATATTTAAGTTTTCCACATTGACTTGTAGTGGTTGAACTAAATGAATATTTTAAATTCTAAGAAATTGTTTTCTGCAATTAAGAGACTAGTGGGAGTATAAAAAGGTTTGGCACAGTGGCTCACACGGACAATGTCTCAGGTCTATGGGAAGCTGAGGTGGGAGGATCGCTTGAGGTGAAGAGTTCAGGACTAGCCTGGCCAACATAGCAAGACCCCATCACAACAGAAATAAAAGATAAAGATAAATTAGCCAGGTGTGGTGGCGTATGCCTGCAGTCCTAGCTAAGCTACCCAAGAGGCTGAGGCAGGAGGATTGCTTAGGCCCAGAAATTTGAGGCAACAGTAAGCTATGATTATACCACTGTACTCCACCCTGGGTGACAGAGCAAGACCTCATCTCCAGAAAAAAATTAAAAATTTAAAAAAAAGAAATATAATTCTGCAGCTTAAAATTTGGGACACATGTCCTGTAGAAATAATGTTATTCTAGTGGCCAGTGTCCCAGACTGCCTGCTGGTTTAAGGCTCGAACTCTGCAATAGGGCTTTAGTGCATATGGATCACCCAGGATCTCATTATGGCTGATCGCTAACAGCTTGGGATTGTAGCTCCCAGTGAAAGCGCAGAGAACAAGAGGACGCCACACTTTCAGACGAATTTTCATCACTCACGGACCAGAAGATTCCCAGTGGAGGAACCCCACAGGTCGCCAGTACAACTCTTGTGGCCGGCACAGCAGTTTTGTCGGCGCCTTGGCGTGGCAGCTCTTCGTGCAGAGTAAACGGGAGGAGATTCCCGGGCAGAACAGCACCATCAGTCTTAACGCCGCTGTTTTGGCCGGCGCAGTGGGTTGCTCAGATTCCAGCGCTGGGAATCAATAAACTGGACGTCCACTCAGAAACCCAACTAGAAAGGCGGTAATCGTAAAGACAACAGATGGATAAATTTATAACAAAGGGAAGAAACCAGCCTAAAAAGGCTGAGAATACCCAAAATCAGAACCCCTCTCCCTCTGCAGGGGATTACAGTTCCTCATCAGCAACGGAACAAGCCCTGATGGAAAAGGACTGTGTGCCATTAACAGAAGTAGGCTTCAGAAGGTGGATGATAAGAAACTTCTGGGAGTTAAAAGAACTTGTTCTAACCCAATGTAAAGAAACTAAGAACTTTGAAAAAAGGTTTGACGAAATGCTAACAAGAATAGACAATATAGAGAGGAATATAAACGAACTAACGGAGTTTAAAAACACAACACGAAAACTTAGCGAAATATGCACAAGTTTGAATAGCCAAATTGATCAAGCAGAAGAAAGGATATCAGAGGTTGAAGACCTACTTAATGAAATAAAACGAGAAGACAAGAATAGAGAAAAAAGGATAAAAAGGAATGAGCAAAGTCTCCAAGAAATATGGGACTATGTGAAAAGACTTAATTTACGTTTGATAGGTGTACCTGAATATGACAAAGAGAATGAATCCAAGCTGGAAAATACTCTTCAGGATATTTTTCAGGAAAACTTTCCCAATCTAGCAAAACAGGACAATATTCAACCCCTGGTAATACAGAGAACACCACAAAGATATTCCTCAAGAAGAGCAACCCCAAGGCACATAATTGTTAGATTCACCAGGGTTGAAACGAAGGAGAAAATACTAAGGGCAGCCAGAGAGAAAGGTCAGGTTACCCACAAAGGGAAGCCTATCAGACTTACAGCAGATCTCTCAGCAGAAACCCTACAAGCCAGAAGAGAGTGGGGGCTGATATTCAACATCCTTAAAGAACAGAACTTTCAGCCCAGAATTTCATATCCTGCCAAACTAAGCTTCACAATTGAAGGAAAAATAAAATCTTTTATGAACAAGCAAGTACTCAGAGATTTTATTACCACCAGGCCTGCTTTACAAGAGCTTCTGAAAGAAGCATTATACATAGAAAGGAACAACCAGTATTAGCCTTTCTAAAAATATACCAAAAAGTAAAGAGCATCAACATAAAGAAGAATTTACATCAACGAATGGATAAAATAGCCAGTTAACATCAAATGGCAGTAACCCTAAATTTAAGTCGACTAAATCCCCCAATCAAAAGATACCTCCAAAACCTAACAGTATACCGTATCCAGACTCATTTCACATCCAAAGATACACAAAGACTCAAAACAAAGGGATGGAGAAAGATTTACCAACCAAATGGAGAGCAAAAATAAATAAATAAATAAAAAGCAGGAGGTGCAATTCTCGCATCTGATAAAATAGATTTCAAAGCAACAAAGACATAGTGGTAAAAGGATCAATGCAACAATAAGAGCTAACGATCCTAACACCCAGATACATAAGACCCATAAAGAGATTTAGACTCAACGAGACCTAAAATTAATAAGGATATCCAGGACTTGAACTCAGATCCGGAACAAGTAAACTCAATAAATATTTATAGAGCTCTCCATTTTAAATACACAAAATATACATTCTCCACCTTAAATACACAAAATATTGATCAGCCATTATTAATACCCATTTTTAGAATAAAGTTACATTCCCATTCTCTCTCCCACTTTTTCTTCCTCTCCTTCACTCCTTTTTTTTTTTCTTTCTTTCCAAAAAAAAAAAGTGCTGAAACAAATTGGTGATGGTGGGGCAAAAGGGACTGACAGTTGACATTTCTAACAGCTCCTGATGGAGCTGCCCATTGGGGACAGCTTGTGTAGCAAGGATGGGGTGGGAGAAACTGGCATTACTTGGGGATGAGAACAGTGGGTGAGGCATTGGCCTAGACGGGGCAGAGGGAGCAGGGCTTCTAGTGAGGTGAAGGATTGGAGGAAATGGGGAGAGGGCTCCTGGCTGGTGTAACTCCCCAGGCACTTCCTGGCCACTTCCTGGCCATCATCTCTCCTGGCCCTGGTGTTTGCCAGGATGCCCTCTCCACCCTGTCCCCTCACCCACCCAGGGTCCCTAAACTCTCCCACCCAGCCACAGAATCTGGCCTTCCCTTTGTTCTCAGAGCAAGCATGCTCTGCAGAAAGGCTCTTCTTTTTTATTTTATTTATTTATAATTTTTTACCCAAACAGAAGAAACCCTCTTTAAATGAAGTGCATTTTGGTAAACAGCCTGGAGTCCTAGGTCTGACTTCTCCAGCCCCCTCTGTTTTTACTTAGATCCTCTGAGGAACTGCTAAGGATCACAGAGATAGGGATGGCTGGTCTTTGACTACTCCAAGATAAGGCTGACCCACACACGCCCACCACGCCTCACCGGCTGCTCCCCTCTTTCCGCCTTATGTTCTCCATGTCCTCTCCCTGGAGGACTAGGAAGTTTGAGGGCAGGATTAGAAGTAGATTCATCTTCATATTCCTGCGGTGCACACACAGACTTGGGCCAATGTCAGGAAGAGCGGGAGGAGAAAGCCAGAGGGGTGGGAGAGGAAGAAAGGATTGTCATGGAAATGACCGAGGAGGAGAAGCTACTTGAAGTGAATTTGTTTCAGTCATACTTGGCCAGGATACATCCTAGCAGTTGTGTGAGAGCTTCCTGCTTAACTGGGCCCACCTGGGTCGGTCAGGTGTGGTAGGTGGGGAAATGGATTCGAGTAAGGCACTGGATGTGGCCTTCATTCTCTCCAAGCACCTCAGCTCAGAAGCCCCTCTGCTGGGATCCTTCCAGAACAGTAATGTTTTAGCAGTGAGGTAAAGGTAAGCCCATCTCTTTTAAGAGTTAAGTTAGGTGGAGCTGTCACTTTGGTGGGAAAGTGAAGACAGATTAGGACAGCAATACGAAGATCACGTCTAATACATGATCGCATTTTTGTTTTTCCAGATTTATCAGCAAGACTGTTGAACGCATAACTGCCCAAGATGCCCGTCCCTCCCCCTCCAGCACCCCCACCGCCCCCAACATTTGCACTGGTGAGTGTCTCCACCCCAATCACTTTCTATGCATAAAGCAAGCCAGATGAAGCCAAAACCTGGCACACGTGTTTGTTTTAAATGTGTTTGTATTTTGGCTTACATGTGATACAGCAGGAATGCCTGGCTTACATGTGATACAGCAGGAATGCTTTCCCAGTGCCCAGAGTAAGCCAAACCCTGAGACCCAGCAAATACAAACAACACAAAGGGTTTTGTTTGTTTAAGGTCTCCTGCAATGGATGGTACAAGGGTGGAATGCGGCTGATGAGGTGTTTTCTGCCACATCCACGCAGGGAAATGTGCTGACCCAAGACAGGGTTTGCAGCAGTTCTGAGACCAGTAGGCACTGTTTTCATCCAGAGAAACTGAGTGTCTGGCTTTTAACTTCTGGGCTGGATGATCTAGAAACCCAGGTCTCTGCCAGACATGGTGGTGTGAACCTGTAATCCCAGCTACTTGGGAGGCTGAGGCAAGAGAATAACTGAATCGCTTGAACCTGGGAGGTGGAGCCAAGATCTTGCCATTGTACTCCAGCCTGGTCAATAAGAGTGAAACTCCATCTCAAAAAAAAAAAAAAAAAGAAAACAGAAACCCAGGTCTCTGTCTGCAGTGCATTCCATTGAAGTGTCTTCCGGTCTCACTCGTTTCTTTTCCTTTGCCTTTTCCCCTCTTCTTCCCAATCTGTTTTTGACAAATATCTCCCCACCACCACCTCTCCCACATACATTCAAATCCTCCTTTAAATTGATTCTTGCATTTTAATGTTTATTCCCTGAAAAAATGTCTTCACTGAATTCATCCTGGTCTTCTTTCTTTCTTTCTTTTTGTTTTTGACTTACTCTGTCACCCAGGCTGGAGTGTAATGGCACGATCTCTGCTCACCGCAACCTCCACCTCCCATTCAGGGGATTCTCCTGCCACAGCCTCCCAAGTAGCTAGGACTACAGACAGGTACCACCACACCTGGCTAATTTTTGTGTTTTTAGTAGAGATGGGGTTTCACCATGTTGACCAGGCTTACCTTGAACTCCTGACCTCAGTTGATCCACCCACTTCAGCCTCCCAAAGTGCTGGGATTACAGGCATGAGCCACGGTGCATGGCCCATCCTGCTCCTTTAATAGACTTCTCTGGGGAAGTTAGAGTGCCCTCTTCCAGGAATTTGGCAGCCCTCCACTTGGTCAGATGGAAAGGCCCCAAGACACACACTGTTACAAAGCACTTTCCAGCTTGTGAAACCTTCACTGAGGAGGAGGCTTACACTCTGGTTCCTTCATTTTCACCATTTTCACATGGGGAAACTGAGGCTCAGAGAGGAAGTTTCTTGCCCCAGGTGTTCATGAGACACATTTAAATAACTCATCTGAGGTTGAAATCTAGTGAGAAGAACTGCCCATTAATTAACTTACTGCTACTCAGAGTGTGGTCTTCCAGCTGCTTTTCAGAGTCCCCAAAGTGATGAGGACAGAAATTGAAAGTAAGCATTTAGGAGCATTTCTAGCAATTTGACAGTAGTTTTCTGTCTGTTTCTAAGATTGGATATTATGTTTCTTTAAAAAAAAAAAAGAATTCATTTTTTAAATAATGTATTGCTATTTTACAAAAGTGTCAGTCCCTGATGAAAATGTTTTTCAAAAGACTGGTCCTTGGCCAGGCATGCACTTTGGGAGGATAACTTGAGCCTAGGAGTTTGAGACCAACCTGGACAACATGGTGAGACCCCCATATCTACAAAAAAAAACATTAATTAGCCAGCCAGACACAGGGCTGCATGCTTGTAGTCCCAGCTATTCTAGAGGCAGAGATGGGAGATTATTCAAGCCCGAAAGGTCAAGGCTGCAGTGAGCTGCAATTGTACCACTGCACTCGCGCCTAGGTGACAGAGCAAGACTCTGTCTCAAAAAAAAAAAAAAAAAGACTGGTCCTTCACATGGATAAGTTTGAGAACCTACGATCTGGCTAACATAGTAGGATGCATTTATTCACGTTTCCCCAAAAAATGTGGGTTACAGTGAACTGACTTAATAAAAAATATTAAATAAATAACACAGGTGGTATAAGAAGATGACAAAAATCATGAATCTTATACCGGAATGGTTAAGATTTGGGAAATTCTTGTTTATCTTATCAACTCATTTCTATCCGTTATTACCTAATCCAAAGCAAGATCATGGATAAATAAAATACAGAGATGAAAAAAAGGAAAGGTGGGTTGTTGGCCATCATAGAACACTGCCCTGGTGAAACAACGTAATTAAGGACCCTGGGCACGAGAGAAGTTAGCACCCAGGGAGGTCAGGTGGCAAAATAAATTTTGAGACAGAACAGGAGGCTACTGAAGGTTGCTGACCCAAAACTGTTAAGAGAGCCAGTGTGACACATCACTTAACCTCTCTAGGCCTCTGAGATTTTTCATCCTTAACATGAAGACAGCAGGTAATGTTAAGAGCTCTTTTCAGGACGTCCAAAGTATGTTAAGTTGAAAACAAACAATTTTCAGAGCAATAGAGGAAAATCTCATTAGCAAAAGCAAACTGTAGGCAGAGAGCATTTCTGGAAGGACAGCAGAGAAACTTTTAACAGGCTTGCTTCAGGGGTGAGTGGGGCTGATGAGGAAGGGGCATTTTAGAGCCCACATTTACCATCTGTCAGCTGGTAGGGAAAACTCTGGAGTCAGACTTGCCAGGGTTTGAATCCCAGCTCCTCCTCAAATAACTAGGTGACTAGGGTAAATGATTTAAATTCCCTGTACCTCAGTTTCCTTGTCTGTAAAATGGAAATAATAACTCACAGGGTTGATAAGGGCTAAATGAAGTTAAACACATAAAGTGCTGAAAACAGTGCCTGGCACAGAGTAAAAGCCTTATAAATGGTCACTATTAGTATCATAAGCAAGAAATACTTTCTCATTTTGTTATTTCAAGATGCTTCCAATTTTACCATATTTTACAGTCATATTCTGTTTCCACAGTATAATTCCAATTACACAGTAATTCTGGTGAGCCCACTTCAGGGTTTTTCTGAGTTCTTCCTTTGCCTCTAACTCTGCTAATGAAAGGCTAAGTTAGGCCAGGAGCAGTAGCATGCGCCTGTAATCCCAACTACTCAGCAGGCTGAGGCAGCAGTCCAGGCAACATAATGAGACCCTGTCTCTAAAAAAAAATTGTTCTTTAAAGGCTGGGTAAGGTATCGAGCCACACGTTTCCCCAGCTTTTCCTCCTGTGGCCCTAACTGGCAAACCTGAAATCATATCTCCGTCAGCAGGGCTAGGGCCAGCCTAGAAAGGACCTGTGGGTTTTGGGCAGCCAGACTCCCTGGGACAGGTAAGACCTAGCCAGTTTCCAAGTGCGACAGACACATGCACACAGGCAGGTGCCTATGCCCAAGTCCTTTTGGTGGTCTCTTAGTGTCCCCACTCCCTGAAGGAATAAGATCCCAATTTCATAGTAGGGATCTTTCCTAGGAATTCTAGAAATAGTAGAAAATACTCACATACTAAAAGCACCTTTGTCCACTCTGCAATTTTCATGGACTAAGCTTTCATCAGAATTAAATATCAGAAACACCTCATGCCAATAGGACATGAAAGAACTTTTGAGGTAATGAAAATCTTCTATATCTTGATTGTGATGGTGGTTACACAACTGTATGTGTTTGTCAAAACTCATAGAACTAACTAAAAAGGATGATTTCACTATATGTAAATTATGCCTCAATAAATCTGACTTAAAATGAAAAAAAGCATCCTTGGCAATATACACAGAGGGAATTATTTTCTAGAATTTTAGTGGGTTTAAAAAACATACAGCTGACTCTTTTTGCTAGAGACAGTTTTTCCCTTGCACTGGATTAGTTCTAAAAGATGAGAAAAGGACGTTATTTTTCAGGGTACCCTCTGGTGAATGAAGCCTGATAATGTCCTGCAGAATCCTCCCAGACTTAAAATTCTTTTCTCATGTCTAGTCATCTCACCCTAACCTGGCTCTGTTAGTTACAGTCAGACTGTGGTCTGAATTTTCAGAGGCTTTAATCAAGGACTGACTCTTCCTGCCTTAAAAATGAACATAATTTATTGCTACATCTGCTTCCAAATATCTGGGTCTTAAAAAGAATGATAGGGGGTTGAAAACTTGTCTTGAATTTACAACCTATCACCAAGAACCGTAATAACAAGATTCCAGTACCCAGCCTGTCCCAGCCAAGTGTTAATAATACATTATTTTAACCCAAGAGATGACTACTCATTTGTATGATTTCCTTTCAGGCCAATACAGAGAAGCCTACCTTGAATAAGACAGAGCAGGCTGGGAGAAATGCTCTCCTTTCTGATATCAGCAAAGGGAAGAAACTAAAGAAGACAGTCACCAATGACAGAAGTGCACCAATATTGGACAGTAAGTGAAAAAAGCTATTTTCCATGGAGAGAAATGGTTTATGACCTAACAATCAACCCTACCCTTACCCCTCAAAATTTGGGGAGGGGGGTGGTTAACAGCTGCAAAGCTAGCAAAATAAGGGACTGTATCACTCCCTGTAGGCCGCAGCTTTGGCCTGGGTTCCCCTCTAATGCTGCAAGAAGCCAATATAATAATTCTTTGTCCAAGACATACACAGCAGCAATTCTCTGCATTATTCACAACACTTTCTGGATTAACCCATTGCTCCTAGCACCACAGATGAGGAGGCAGCATAAAATATGGAAGGAGCCCTAGCCTTGGAATCAAAAGATGTGGGTTCAAGACCTAGCACGTCCATCCCATACTATCTCCAAGTCTTGTTGTCTTCATTTTAAAGTGAAGATGATAATACATGTTCTATTGACCTCACAAGTTTGTCGTGAGCCTCAAATGAGATAATGCCTGTAAAATGTTTTGTTGTCTGGAGAGTATAATTCAAGTGTAAGATACGATCATTAGGAGCTTAGAGAGAAAGGAAATGAGGTCACAACTTTGCTTATCTACCCACCTAAGTCTGAGGTGCTTTCTGGAGCAAGGCTACTTACTAACATTTACAACAGGACAAAAAATTATCCATCACGAGAATTCTACTGGCAATTAATAAATAGGTCTTAAGTCTGTCTCCTCATATTCCTAGACCCTTCCTTTGCCTGCCAGATGTCCTCAAGATTCATCCTAGAATACAAATCTCATTTGGATGCAACAGGAAATAGACTGACCTTCCAAAATCACCAGATGGAGCTTTGTCAACAAGTGAATAATGAGGCGGAATCTTAGCAAAGTAGAAGATTAGAAGTGCTTCTGGGAACTTTCCAGGAGAAATGCCTAATGAGTAGAGAAGGAAGAAGAAGGATCAGAGTTAGGTGGACTACTGGCTTTGGGAGGAAAAAAGAAAAGCAAAAGACCTAGATAAGGCCTCTGAATGTTGTTCTGTTACCGGGCAAAGTGGTGCAAGTAAGAATGCACCACTTTCAAAAAGGAACTATGACCGGGAGTGGTGGCTCATTCCCGTAATTCCAGCACTTTTAGAGGCTAAGGCGGGTGGATCACTTGAGGCCAGGAGTTCAAGACCAGCCTGGACAACATGGTAAAACCCTGTCTCTACTAAAAATACGAAAATTAGCCAGGTACGGTGGCACATGCCTGTAGTCCCAGCTACTCAGGAGGCTGAAGCACAAGAATCACTTGAACCCGGGAGGTGGAGGTTACAATGAACTGAGATTATGCCACTGCCCTCCAGCCTGGGCAACAGAGCAAGACTCTGTCTCAAAAAAAAAGAAACTGAGGTATTTAACTCTTAACATAGTCTAACTTGTAAGTCCAAATGTGCACAAAATGAAGGTGGTTATAATATAATCCCTTTAATCTTTCAGCCCTCCAATAGCCATCTAAATCATGGTCCCTGGTATGAGGCTAGAGCTGCTGCTGACCTCTAGGACAGAGGCCTTTGGTCCACTCCACTAAAAGAGGGAGCCTAGGGCTCTGTTGAAGGAGACTGGACAGCCTAGACCCATTTCTGAATCTGCTAGTGGAAACCCATTGTATTCTTCAAGGTCCACTTCTGTCATTTAGTGGAAATAGTGTTAGTCCTTCTCACTTCCATGATGTTTAATAATGTGCTTTCTTTGGTGGAAGGAAGATCCAGTCTAGCACAGGCCCTTGTCCACACACTTAACTGAACACCTATCCTGCTGTCACAAATTCTGTGCAAGCAGCAGTGTTTATCCATGGTTTTGTATCTGTTTGCATGTGAAAATTCCCTGGGCTGTATGTCAAAATGTTGACTATGGTTATGTGTGATAACTCCCAAACTCAGCCCTGTCCTGCAGTTTAATTACTAAAGAAATAGTCAGGAGCCAGTTAACTATCCTCAACTTTAGCTTCTCTTTCTGAAAGACAGACAGATGTTACAGGTTAAGAACACTAATGGATGATGTCTGATCGTGCAAGAGTGCCTCTGAAGTTTCAATACAGTGTAAATGTGTCCTGTGTAAGTGCAGTATTCCAAAATGTGTCATTCATCAATGAATAGTGTTTGAATGACAAGGGCAAGTTAATATTATTAGCAAAATTTAAAAATTTTATATGGTAACAATTTTGCATACACTTCTAGAAATTGTTAATTTTATATGATTTATCCTGCTAGGTAAAGTAATGCTTATCAGTTCTTATCAGATTATTTCTTCCACAGCAGAGCTACCATAAGCATTCCAGAAAGCTCCACACCTGGAAAAGATACAGAGCTAATACAAATTTATGATAAACCTAACCCAGAAAAAAAAGAAATAAAAATGAATAAAAGTAGAACTCAGAAAGCAGATAAAATAAGAGATTCAAAGCAGATTTTCCAAAATTAAAGTAGTGTAATAAAAATATGTGCTAAAATGTTTTAAGATCTTAAAGTATTTATTAAAATTTATCCAGGAAGCCTCAATGAGCAAGGGAAAAAATGAAGACTTTATTAAATTACTTTCTCTCCAAAAAGCTTTGGAGCCAGATGGTTTTATTAGCAAATTCTTAAAATTTTAAGAAACAGCTAATTCAAATGCTATATAAGTCATTCCCCAACATATTAAGAGATGGAAAGCTATTCAATAATGATAAGGAAATTGGCATTATCCTAATGTCAAAACTTGACAAAGGCAGCACATACAAAAAAAGAAAGCTGTCCATTAGTGGTTTTCAACTGGGGTGATTTTGGCATCCCAGGGGATATGTGGCAATGTCTGAAGACATTTTTAGTCACTACTTTGGGGGCACAGGGAGGGCTGCTACTGACATCTAGTGGGTAGAGGCCAGGGCTGCTGTAAACATGCTGTAAAGAACTGGACGGCCACCCACAACAAAGAATTATCTGACCCAAAATGTTAGTAATTAAGAAATCCTACCATGGACCACTCATCATAGATAAGAGAAAACTAAAATACAAAAAAACAAATCTAAACCAATTGAATGTTACCGGAATAATTCACCAACACCAGGGTTTATCTGTTTTTTTGTTTCTTTTTTCTTTCTTTCTTTTTTTTTTTTTTTTTTGAGAAAAGATCTTGTCTTGTCACCCAGGCTGGAGTACTGTGGTATGAACACAGCTCACTGCATCCTTGACCTCCCAAGCTCAAGGGATTCTCCCACCTCAGCCTCCCAACTAGCTGGGACTACAGGTGCACCACCACATCTGGCTCATTTTTTGGATTTTTTGTAGAGATGGGAGTCTTACCATATTGCTCATGCTGGTCCTGAACTTCTGAGCTCAAGCCATCCACCCGCTGTGGCCTCCCAAAGTGCTGTGATTACAGGCATGAGCCATTGCACCCAGCCTATCCCATTTTTAACATTAGAAAGTCTATCCATCATATCAAATAAAAAAGACCATATATTGTCTCAGTAGATCTCAAATAGGCATTTCATAAAATTCCATGCTATAAGAAATTCTTGTAAACCTAAAATAGAAGGATTGATCAACTGAATATTTAGAAAGGGAAAAAACCTATTTCAAACCAATAATTCATATTAACTTTGAAAACATCAGAGGCATTCTCATTAAAATCAGAGCATGATTGCCTTTAGCAACGTTAATAATTTACATTGTTATGGAAATTCACCCATCAAAGAAATTATATAAAACAAATAAGACATGCAACTCTTAGAGGAGGCAAAATCTTTATTATTTGAAGACCACATGCTTGCTAGAAAATGCAAGATAATAAATTTTTAGTAAATTTCAATTTAGAAAATATAGCAAAGTGGCTTATTAGGTATTAAATACAATTTCCTGGCACCAAAAATAACCAATTACAAAATATAATGGAAAAAACATCCCTTTCACAGTTTCAGCAAACAAAAATACATTTGAAGTAACCCTAACAAAAAGCATGTGTAATGTAGATCATGAAAACTAAAAAACTTTGCCAAAAAATTTAGAAGACATGAATAAATGGGAAAATATACCACATCTCCAAATGTAAAGTCTGAGTATCATAAAAGTATCAGTTCTCCCAAATTAATTTGTAGATTTCATATACTGTTTATCAAAGACTCAACATAGTTTTTTGGGAAGAGGACTTTAAATAATGTTTAAGCTCTTGAATACAAACATGCATACATACATAAATTGTTAAGAGATAATTTTTTTAAAGATGGTATAAGCATTTCTTGAACACAACTAATTTGCACTTGGACAAATACCATTGCATTAATATCAATTTTCTATACCTTTCAGACTGACAATACTGTAGTATTGTCAGAAGACTAGACAGAATGCTCAGTAATCTTTTTGTTTGTTTGCCTGTTTATTTGCTTCCCATCAAAATCTTTCACAATTTTTTGCAGATAAATTCAAAATAAAACAAAATCTTCATACCCTCTCAAATAGCAAAGAATGTTTAAATTACCTCAGGCCTACCATTGGGCTTCATGATGTTAAAAGATTAATAGCAATCTAAAGGGCCATCAAATGAGTAAACAGATTTTAATGGAATACATTCATGTTCTACAATACAATACAATCCTGTAAACTCATGTTTTCAAAGAGTATTTATGACACAGGAAGTGCTAACAAAGTGTTAAATGAAAAAAGCAGGCTTAAAACTGCGTAGTGAATTTGTTCTTAATTTCAGGAAAAAACACAATGAAAAATACTGTCGGGAAAAAGTATAACTCAATAGTGGATATTTGCTTGGTTTTTTGCTTGTTTTGTTGCTGAAGTGCAGTGGTGCAAGCATAGCTCACTGCAGCCTCAGTGGGTTCAAGTGATCCTCTCACCTCGGCCTCCTAAGTAGCTGGGACTACAAGTGTGCACCACCATGCCTGGCTAAATGTTTTATTTTTGTGGAGACAAGGTCTCACTTTGTTGCCCAGGCTGATCTCGAACTCCTGGGGCCCAAGCTGTCCTCCAGTCAGCCTCCCAAAGTGCTGGGATTATAGGTGTGAGCGACCATGCCCAGCCTAGATATTTGCTTATTTATAAAATTATGGGATATTTTATTTTCTTCTCTTTTTAACTCTTTCCTTTCTTCTCACATTTTATGGCATCTCCTTCTCCCTCGGGACCTTCTTTCTTTGAAGATCCTTTTTTTTTGAGACAGGGTCTTACTCTGTTGCCCAGGTTGGAGTGCAGTGGTGCAATCTTGGCTCCCTGCAGCCTTGACCTCCCCAGCACAAGTGATCCTCCCACCTCAGCTTCCAAAGTGCTGAGAGTACAGGTGTGAGCCACTGTGCCTGGCCTGAAGATCCTTCTATTTTCCAAATCTTAGGATACAGAACAAATAGATATTGACCCATGTGGCAACCAGTCAAGTGGGGAGTTTGGGGACAAATCATCCTTTATTTTCATTTCTTCCACCACTGGGCCTGGGACTGCCTGGAGCAGACAGTTCTGACTGCGCTGAGGAAACTCTTAAAATCCTGCATTGTAATGAAGAAATCCCAGTTGTCCACTGGAGGCCCAGAGCCGGCCAGCTCCCTGTTGTCCTGTTGCTTTATGGTTTACTTGGGCCAGACCGGGAAGCGTACTGTGACGGGTGTTTCTTCTGCAGAACCTAAAGGAGCTGGAGCTGGAGGTGGTGGTGGCGGTAGCGGCTTTGGTGGAGGCGGCGGATTTGGCGGCGGAGGTGGTGGTGGAGGCAGTGGAAGTTTTGGAGGGGGTGGACCTCCAGGTCTGGGAGGACTGTTCCAGGCTGGAATGCCGAAGCTGAGATCCACGGCCAACAGGGATAATGGTAAGGAGAGTTTTCCTCTCTCTGAGTAACTGAAGATGAGGCAGTTTGGCAGTTTAGAGGCTGGTCATAGCCTCTAAGCCTCTTTGCCCTTATTAAAATATTGTACATTGTTTGAAATATTACCGCTGTTTCATAAGAGACTCAATTTAGGCTTTATTATTATTATTAACCAGGATCAGACAGCTCCATAGAACTATGAAATTTTCACCCAGTGTCTTTGGGGGTAATCTGTACTTTTTTTTACTTTCCTAAAGGGTTAGCTGGAATGGGAAGAAAAGGGAGAAGCAAACAGAACTTGCTGGGCCTGGCAATCAGCCTGGTGACCTGGCAGATTCAGCTTTCATTGTGAGGTAGTCCAGCTGTCTAGTAGAGTAAATACTTGTCAGCTTCTTTTCAAACAGTATGGACCACATCTTGTGGAATATGATTACAAATCTCACTAAATCTGAAACAGTGTTTAGCAAGACAGACATTTGCTATTTCAGTGCCAGTGGTTCTCAGGAGTCTCTGCAGGGAGCCATGGACATGAGTCCTTCAGGAGTGTCTATGAACGTGATGGTAGAGAAATGCTGAACTTGCTCATGAATGCCTAATAAAAAACTGCAGAGAACATGAGGCTCTCTCCTGACTACTACAGAAACTCAAGAAATTTTACCTTAAAACTGTTTCTGTAATGTTGATCATGTTAGAAGAATTTTCTTTCTAAGACCTTTAAGATGTCCTCTGGGAATGTATGAAATCCTCACATTTACATGAACATAGAGTCACTGAACCCTCAGGGTTAGCCTATTACTTTGTCACTGAAGGGTCCAAATCTAGAGAGAAACTCAATCACATGAGAGGTTCTGTCTTGCTGGACCACCATTTAAATTTAAATTTATTTATTTAAAAATCACCAAAAGGATTTAAATCCTTAAGGCAGCTGATAAATGTATACATTCAGTACTTTAACAGCAGGTGAAGAAATTAAGGCAAAAGACAAAGAAAAATAAAATAATAAACTGGGCCTGTTATGGTGGCACACACCTATAATCCCAGCACTTTGGGAGGTCAAGGCAGGCAGGTTGTTGAAGCCCAAAAGTTCTAGACTAGCCCGAGCAACATGGAAAAATCCCGTCTCTACTGAAAAACACAAAAAATTAGTAGGCACAGTTGCTGTTGCCTATAGCCCCAGCTACTCAGGAGGCTGAGGTGGGAGGATCACCTGAGCCTAGGAAGTTGAAGCTGCAGTGAGTCGTGACGGCGCCACTGCACTCGAGCCTGGGCGACAGAGGAGAGCCTGTCTCAAAACAAAAACAAACAGAAAAAAAGTTTTTTCTTCAGTTCATGACATCCCATTGTATAAATCTGTCCAAATGCTTCTTCCTGTGCCTTAGATAAAATCGGAACCCCTTCTGTCACTCACCCCTGCTAACCGCTCAGGCTCCACTTCCCATGGATCTCTCCCATTCTCACTGTGCCCCTGCCATATGGGCTTCTGTTTTTTAATTTGAAGCTCTTTCCCACCTCAGGGCCTTTGCACCTGCTGGCCGCCAGGCCTGAAGTGTGCTGGTCTTCCTCATCTTTCCATGACCAACTCCTTGTCAAGCCTCAGCTCACATGTCACATTCTCAGAAGAGCTGTCCCCAGCCACTCCATGTACCCTGCCCTCTCCAAGCACTCTTGATTTCATTGGCCTATTTTAGTGTCTTTTTAGTACATATAATTATCTGAAAGTATTTCCTGGTTTACTGTTTGTCTCCCCCACAAGAATGTAAACTACAGGAATACAGAACCTTTTCTACTGTGCTTACTCCTCTGTCTCTAGCCTGTAGATTAATGGCAGGCGCAAGTGCTCAGAATTATTTGGTACATTTATTAACTCTAACTGAAGGGTAGATTTTTTTTTTTTTCAGAATTACCTTGAGTTCCAAGAGATTCTGGGATGGTGGTTTGAAATTCTCCATCTCTTCGGTTCCCTCTTTAGTTTCTCCCTTGTTGAAGCAGAGCAGTTACAGGATTTTTCTGTCCTGCCAGTATTGAAGCAGAGGTTGCCCTGGTGAGAAAAAAGTTGTGTAGTTGCCTACTTCTTTGTAGATGAATTCCATCCACTTCCAATTAAACTTCGTCTGGTGGTTTGTTTTTCTTTTCTTAGTTTTTTTCTTATTGCAGTCATAACTCTTTCCTTATATTTTTCCACCTTTTCTTGGGCCTTTTTCTTCAAAGGGACTAGATAAGCCCTCACATATGGAGATTTTCATTGGGATAATTAATTTTTTCACCTAAGACAGCTGACTTTCAAAACAAGGCTGGGAGACAGAGATGGTGATGGGAAAACATGACAATCATGATTCTACCCATGCCATCTTGTTCTTGTCTTCTTGTAATGAACAGGCACCTCACCAGAACCCTCACCCATTTCATCCTGGCTTTTGTCCATACATAATGCTAAGAGATCTTTCCAGAATCCTTTTGAAAGCTGATGGGCTGTAGAACTTGGGACTAGGAGGTAAATAGAGCTGTGGTCTATTTCCTGCTCCCAGGAAGGACCACACAAAACCCATATTATATAAGTAATAGTTTCCTAATTGTATAGCCCCCTGAGGAAGGGACTTCCAGTTGCTGGGAACAGACTCTAGCTTGCTGATTTCTTTAGGGTTCCCGATTTCCTAACTGGACATTTATTTTCCTGTTCTTCAGATTCTGGAGGAAGCCGACCACCAGTTGTGCCACCAGGAGGAAGATCCACATCTGCCAAACCTTTTTCGCCCCCAAGTGGCCCAGGGAGGTTTCCAGTGCCTTCTTCAGGCCACAGAAGTGGTCCGCCAGAGCCTCAGAGGAACCGAATGCCGCCCCCGAGGCCTGACGTGGGCTCAAAACCCGATAGCATTCCCCCTCCAGTACCTAGTACTCCAAGGCCCATTCAGTCAAGTCTGTACAGCCGGGGGTCCCCACTAGTGCCCGGAGGCCCCAGGCAGCCCAGCCCCGGGCCCACTCCTCCTCCTTTCCCTGGAAACCGTGGCGCTGCTTTGGGAGGAGGCTCAATGCGTCAGTCCTCCTCGAGCTCCTCCTCTCCCTTCTCCAACCGGCCTCCCCTGCCGCCTACCCCCAGCAGGGCCTTGGATGACAAACCCCCTCCGCCACCTCCTCCAGTGGGGAACAGGCCCTCCATCCACAGGGAAGCGGTTCCCCCTCCTCCCCCTCAGAACAATAAGCCTCCAGTGCCTTCCACTCCGCGGCCTTCCTCCTCCTCACAGGCCCCACCTCCACCGCCACCTCCCAGCAGGCCTGGGCCTCCTCCCCTGCCTCCAAGTTCCAGCAGCAGTGACGAAATCCCAAGACTCCCACAGCGAAATCTGTCCCTCACTTCATCCACACCCCCCTTACCTTCGCCAGGACGTTCAGGTCCTCTTCCTCCCCCACCCAACGAGAGACCCCCACCTCCAGTGAGGGACCCACCAGGCCGATCAGGTATGACAAGACATGGGGTGAGTTGTTCCCAAAACCCAACCCGTCCAAATGTTCCAGTAATCCTGTCAGTCAAGATAGTCTAACAAAAGCATGCATAAGTCAACTCTCAGACTGCTTTGTGCTTTTAACGTAGCTTGCGACACATGTGATCATGACCTCATGTAAACCTCTGAGGAAAGTGGGACCAATGTTTCTGTTGGTGTTTCAGAGATGAGGATACTAGCCAATAAAGTTAAATGGTCATGAGCTAGTTAATAATGAAGAGGCACGTTCATCCTCCATCTGGGAAGTCTACTTGCCAGTCTACTACCCTGCCTAGAGAGAATTTCGGCGGGCTTAATTGGGAAAATAAGTTCCCACCTCCTGCAGGAGGGCTCCGTTATTCTGGCAAGAGGGGCAGTTCTTCAAGAGCTAATGAACTTCTCCTGTATTTCTCTCTTCCTGCGTCAGGCTTTGAGGCCATTTCTCTGCTCATTAAAGACAAATGTTAAAAAGTCCATTTCGCTCTTTGTTAACATCTCTGGTACAGAAATCCCTTGGAAAATCAAGATACAGACTTTATCTTCACAAAAATGCTCAGGCCTAAACTCAAAATTTGCATACTATCGCATGGCTTGGAAGGCCTGCTGAAGCCCATCTGAGACCCTTCCAATGCCCCCGTCCACAGTTGAGAAACCTTGATCTCGGAGACAAACTTTCAGAGTATGAGAGGAAATGCGAGGATTGCCTAGAGTTTGACCTCTCTCTCAATTACCATAGGCGTTTTACAGTGGTTTTGGATGAATTCTGTAGAACTATCTCCTTTTAAAATTTAATCTCATCATACAGACCTTATCATGTCTGGAAATGGGGCATTTCTTTCCTTTATGCAGAGATAACAGACCTTTGACACTGTGACCTTAGGAACCTAATAATCACCGTTCTTTTTTTTTCTTTTTTTCTTTTGAAACAGAGTCTTGCTCTGTCATCCAGGCTGGAGTGCAGTGGTGCGATCTCAGCTCACTGCAACCTCTGCCTCCCAGGTTCAAGTGATTCTCCTGCCTCAGCCTGCTGAGTAGCTGGGACTACAGACACATACCACCACACCTGGCTACTTTTTTAAAAATATTTTTAGTAGAGACGGGGTTTCACTGTGTTAGCCAGATGGTCTTGATCTCCTTACCTCATGATCTACCCACCTCGGCCTCCTGAAGTCCTGGAGTTACAGGCATGAGCCACCCTGCCAGGCCCAGAATCACCATTCTTTAAACTTGCTTACATACTGGAATCATGTAGGGAGCTTTAAAACCACGAATGCCTGTGGCCCTTCCCAGAGTCTCTGGTCTAATTGGTCTGGGATGCAGACTGGGAATCAGGATATTTAAAGGCTCCCCAGTGATTATAGTATGCAGCAGAATTTGAGAACCACACCTTAAAACCGTTGTGTATTGGCCCTACCAAATGGATGAGTCAGCAGATTAAATCTTCCCCAAAATATGATAGGCATATAACATTTATTATTTCATTTGATTATGTAAGTCATACTTGTTTATTATAGAAATACTGAAAAATATGAAAATTAAAATTATCTGTAATCCACTACCACCATCCAGAAATAATTACTGATAACATTCTTTTCATGTGCCCTTTCAGTGTTTTTAAAATGCATATGCCCAGCACTTTGGGAGGCCGAGGCGGGTGGATCACAAGGTCAAGAGATGGAGACCATCCTGGTCAACATGGTGAAACCCCGTCTCTACTAAAACAAAAAATTAGCTGGGCATGGTGGTGCGTGCCTGTAATCCCAGCTACTCAGGAGGCTGAGGTAGGAGAATTGCCTGGACCCAGGAGGCGGAGGTTGCAGTGAGCCGAGATTGCGCCATTGCACTCCAGCCTGGGTAACAAGAGCGAAACTCCGTCTCAAAAATAAATAAATAAAATAAAAAATAAATAAAATGCATATAATGTACAGTTTTACAAACTTGGTATCATGCTACATATATTGTTGCTAATTTGCTTTGTATTTAACAGTATCTCATTAATGTTTGCTGATATGATTATTATTCTACAGCCTGACTTTTAACAGCTACCTAATATTAAATCCTACAAATGTACCTTGATTTATTTAACCAGTCCCCTCACTTGGTCATGTGGGCCATCTCTAGATTTTTCCTGTTGCAGATAATGCAGTGATACATTTTTGTAGCAAAATATGTGTACACATCTCTGTGTTTCCTTTGGACTAATTCCTATAAGTGGAATTTTTGGGTCAGTGAGTGTGCATAGTAAACTATGGATTTCATAGGTACTACAAATTGCCTTACAGAAATTTTTTACCAATTTACACTCCCACAAGGAGCATATGAGAGTTCATCAAAGGCCCTCTATTTTGAGTGGTTTGGCTTCATTATTACAGGAGTGGGCCTTGGAATCTGATAGATTTGGAGTCAGATTCTGGCTCCTCCCCTCACTCTCCTGATAAGCTTTTTAAGCTTCCAAAATTTCTGAGGCCTTGTCTTCTGTCGCTGTACCTCCCAGCGTTGTTGTAAGAATTTAATGAGACAAGCATGTATAGTCGTTATCTTATTTCCTGGCGTGTAGTTATATTTAATAAATAATCATTTCTGTTATTCTGCCAGTGGGAAATAGACATCTTTTCTACTGTGCTTGCCAGGATTTGGAGCAGGAAGCCACGGGGTTGGAGAGTTAGGAACATGAACATGACCATTTACTTTAAAAAGAAAAAGAGGCCAGGTGCAGTGGCTCACACTTGTAATCCCAGCACTTTGGGAGGCTGAGGCGGGCAGATCACCTGAGGTCGGGAGTTCGAGACCAGCCTGACCAATATGGAGAAGCCCCATCTCAACTAAAAATAAAAAATTAGCCGGGCATGATGGCGCATGCCTGTAATCCCAGCTACTCAGGAGGCTGAGGCAGGAGAATTGCTTGAACCCGGAAGGCAGAGATTGCAGTGAGCCAAGATCACATCATTGGACTCCAGCCTGGATGACAAGAGCCAAACTCTGTCTCAAAAAAAAAAAAAAAAAAAGGAGATGAAGTTGATCAAGTTACATTGTACAGGCCCCATCATATTGGAAGTGGAGTTTGCATGTAGTGACAGTTGTGTGGTGGTATTACCAATGAACTTAAACCCACAGCAAATGAGACACTTTCCTCAATCAACTCTTGCTGCCTGGGACTCCAGCAATGACAAGCAGATAGGGTAATAAATAACCACTACCAGGTGAGTCACTTAAGACTCCTTGAGAGACCAACCAGGGCTAAGCAGTGCCTCCCACCGTCGTAAAATGTTTGAGCCAAGACTTTCTACAGTGGGCAGGTTGTTCAATTTAAGGTTCCTAATTGGATTCTGAATCTGTAGCTAATAAGATATTTATTTATAGCACCATAAGACATTGTATTCACATAAAATTCAGCATCTTACAAGTGGAACACTGCTGAAGATCGTGAATAATAACTAAGGCCATTTTGATTTACATTGGAAAATGCTCAAGTTTTGGGTTTTGTTTTTTTAATTTACTTACTACTCAAATAGCTGCTGCATTTGGAGGACAGGAAAAGCAAAATGGTTTTCTTTTGTATTACCAAAAATAATTTACTTTGAATTTTTCTTTAGGAACTTAAAAAACTTAAGGTTATACCATACTGCTACATTTTAAAAAATGGTTTCAAATACTTCCATAGCATTTTTTATTTGCATTTTCACTGGTATTTTCTGGCAGCAGTGCTGTAAGACAGGTGACCATCTGGCACTCTTTTATAGCTAGGAAACCAAGTTCCGTAGGGTACCAGCTTGCTCAGGGTCAGAACTCACATTAGCATTTATAGCCATGGATGTTGATTAGCTGTTTGTCACTCCCTGTGTTCATCTGCCTCCCCAAAGAGAAAGAGCAGGAGGAACTCCTGCTCTCAGGATGACTGGCATTTGGTTTCCTGATGCCACTTCTGCCTGGAAACAGCTCGTATGCATCACAAAAACTTGCTTGTGTAATTAACAACAAAACTGCATTTAAAGAACTTCGTTCTTCTGAAGACCTAAAATAATTTCATAACTATTGTATTCTTTTTTAAGAATTATTTCATGTTACAGTGATTAGTTCAATAGCTCTTGAAAGGATTATAAAATTTTTTTTAATTATATGGTTGTCAGTATAAACAGATTTTCACCTGTTTTCAATTTCATTGTGCCATCTCCAATCTCAGTGCAAAGTCAAAGCCAAAACAGCCATTTAGCTATCAGTATGCACTTGTTTTCATATACATGAATACACAGGTGCATTTTTGTGTTTCTGTGTGTTTACTCATTTCCCAGCTAAATCTCCTAGAAAATCTCCACCCTAGTTAAAGGGCATGTGTCCGGCAGGTCCCCGTCAGGCTTACACTGATGATGACCACTATAATGGAATGTGGATGGAAGGTTCTACACTAAGTGTCTTCTTTTGCTCCAGGCCCCCTCCCACCACCTCCTCCAATAAACAGAAACGGCAGCACGTCTCGGGCCCTGCCTGCCACCCCTCAGTTGCCGTCCAGGAGTGGAGTAGATAGTCCCAGAAGTGGACCCAGGCCTCCCCTTCCTCCTGACAGGCCCAGTGCTGGGGTACCTCCCCCACCTCCACCAGCAACATCTATTAGAAATGGCTACCAAGACTCTCCATGTGAAGGTGAGGTGTGGTCCCAGCTCCCTAAACTATAGGACAGCAACTAAATGGTAAATCTGTTTGTATGTGTGGTTTGCTTGTTTGACTTTTTAATTTCTTGTTCCATCATTATCACACTCCATTGCACTGATGCAACTGTCTAACCATTCTAAGGCCCACCATTGATTTCAAATTAAAAATAGTAATCCCCCTTCCCCAGTTCCCAAAATGGCAGATCATTTTTCTCTGATCTGTTCTTTGAGTCTCATTTTAGTTAACTTTACAGAGATTCAAGGATTCAGAAAAGAACCTCTTTATAGCTTGCCTTCTTATTATGTACATTTCTAAACAGTTCACTATAGGTAAGAAGCCCAATGGCTCTTACTGCTATGCTGCCTATCTCTGCCATTGTTATCAGAGTGGTCCCAGTTATTCCTGGGCCTGCTGGTATGGAAAAAGGTGTCCCATACCTTAGCCCCCAGCTCCTAAGAGGGACTGACTGGATCCCAATCACTCTCATTAAAAACCACTTTGCATTGATTTACAGGCCTGAGATTTTTATATATGTATATATCAGTGTACTGATCCATGACCTTTGTAGCACTTCCAGCTTTTCTGTAAACTTCTAGGCATAAAAACTAGCACTGATGTCTGTGGTTCTCTCTGGTTCATCCTGTGCCTTTCGTTATGTAAATCTTCATAGCAGATTGTCACTGAAGATACTGCTTGTTTCTCCCCCCAGATGAGTGGGAAAGCAGATTCTACTTCCATCCAATTTCCGATTTGCCACCTCCAGAGCCATATGTACCAATGACCAAAAGTTATCCCAGTAAATTGGCAAGAAATGAAAGCCGGAGTGAGTATCTCTGCCAAGGTTTTTGAAGATTCATGCTTGAATAGCCTGAGTGACTCCTGGGCTGTATAGAAAATCCAGGCTCTTGCCTGGAGTCGGGTAGAGAACCCTCTGGAACCATCTACATTCTAGTAAATTCCCCTTCCACAGGCAGTGAAGAAATTACAGATGCCCAGAATGCATATGAGAAACAGTTATTTTAGTGTGTCATTACAAGCTGAAAATACTGTGGTTTGCTAGTATTAAATTTTATTATTTTGCTTCTTTGGACAATCTTCCTCCATTTTCATCTTCCTGAGACAGCACAAGTAGAGCCATCTCCTGTTCCTTCTAGTTTTGAAATTGGCATGTGTCTGATTAATTATAACAAAAATTTCCTGTAACTGCCTTGATCTTTCAAATGTAGTACAATCATAGCTTTACCGAGCATTACATGAAAATTTAAATATATCTATAATTTCTCCACATAATAGATATTTTCATTTTATCAGATTCTTGTCCAATTTTTTATCCATATAATTCTGATTTTTTATGTAGTTACAATGACAGAGTACAATTTTTTGGTGGCGGGGTTTACATAACATTGCTTAGTAAACTGTCCATGTTATCACATGGTTTTTATTTCTGCATATAGTAACTTACCATTCCCATGGACATTTAAATTATTTCTGTTGTTCTGCTAATGTAGGTAATGCTACCATAAAGAAGTAAATTGCTTTTCCTCCACTGAAGAAGAAATGTGAACAAGAAGGGAAGATAGACAGACTGGAATTTCATAACAGTAAATGTATAGGAAGTGTTACAGCTCTTTTAGAATTTGTCTAGCAGGCTTTCCAGGGTTTTGCTGGAAAGCCTCTTAAATTTACTTTAAAAAATACAATAAATATATACAACTAAGAAAGAAATAGCATGAAATATGCATATGTCACCGATGAGGCTTAGGTTCGTGGCAGCCTTAGCCTCAGAGCCAAATTCCCAAACCAGAAATAGAGAAAACATAAGCAAGCAAGTCAAAGACCTGTCACAACACCCCTTGCCATGGCCTCACTCCCTAGCAGAGTGTCTTTCACGCACTCAGAGCTTACTGATTCTTTCCTAACACAGCTTAAAGGAATTTTTGGTTGGTTGGTTCCCAACCTTATAGGAGATTAATAACAGCTAAAGTTAAGACTGGTGAGAAGCAAAATCACTACTGTGAGAGAGAAGTGACAGATGGCAGTCCCAGGTCAGAGGAGGAGATAGGAACAAGGCTGCACTGTGTGTCGCAGCACAGGACAACACCACATGTTTCTGTTGGGTTAAATGGGATTAAATTAATTGAGTCAAACTGTGCTTTGTGCCTCTGTAGAAAAATTTAAAGAGTTAAAAAATCTGTTTATGTGGAAGACTGCATTCATAGACAATACCTAATACAGAGGTATAGCTGTAATAAAATTATTATATAAGAGGTGATGATTGGAATTTTTAGGGAAAAGTATGTTTTCACGTGAGACAAATATCTTTGCTGTGTGTGTGTGTGTGTGTGTGTGTGTGTGTGCATGTGCGTGTGTATGTGTGTATTCACCAGAAGAAGGGCTTCTGCTTTGATAAGCGTACAGCCCTTCTTCCTTCTTGGGTACCAATAAATGAATTTACTTTAAGGAGTTGTTCTTATAGACTCTAAATATTTTTCCTGACTTCTTTTTTTTTTTTTTTTTTTTTTGAGGCGGAGTTTCGCTTTTGTTACCCAGGCTGGAGTGCAATGGAGCGATCTCAGCTCACCACAACCTCCACCTCCTGGGTTCAGGCAATTCTCCTGCCTCAGCCTCCTGAGTAGCTGGGATTACAGACACACGCCACCACGCCCAGCTAATTTTTTGTATTTTTAGTAGAGACGGGGTTTCACCATGTTGACCAGGATGATCTCTATCTCTTGACCTTGTGATCCACCCGCCTCAGCCTTTCAAAATGCTGGGATTACAGGCGTGAGCCACCGCACCCGGCCCTGATTTCTTATAAGCTTCTTATTCTAAATATTATTTGTATTTTTAAATCAGTAGCAGACCATCTTCCCTGTACTCTCTAGATTTGGAAGGTAATACTAGGCATATGTTTCCCCATCCTCCTTTAACACTCAAGTAGGCAACATAGGACTAGAACTGTGTCCTGCTCATTATTGCATCTTCCTTGAGAGGCACAGAGCCTGAAACATAAAGGGCATTTTCAAGTATTTCTCTCTAAAAATTTTCTTGGCCAGGTACGGTGGCTCACACCTGTAATCCCAGCATTTTGGGAGGCCAAGGCAAGTGGATCACGAGGTCAGGAGTTTGAGACCAGCGTGACCAACATGGTGAAATTCTGTCTCCACTAAAAAAGTACAAAAATTAGTGGGACGTGGTGGTACATGCCTGTAATCCCAGCTACTCCGGAGGCTAAAGCAGAAGAATTGCTTGAACCTGGGAGGCAGAGGTTGTGGTGAGCCGAGATTGCACCACTGCACTCCAGCCTGAGCAACAGAGCGAGACTCTGTCTCAAAAAAATAAAATTAAATTAAAATTAAAATTTTCTTGTAGAGACAAGATGACTCTTTATCACCGAGGCTGGTCTTGAGCTCCTGGTCTCAAGTAGTTCGCCCTCCCTTAGCTTCCCAAAGCACTGGGATTACAGCCATGAGCCACCACGCCTAGCCTAAAAGTAGTTTTTAAATTGGTGAATTAATGTCCACTATCTACTAAAATTTTCTCTAGATTTGCCTTAAATATTTCCCGCATTAGGCATGTTTAATATTTTATAATGATAATAGATCATCCAACAAAAATAAGGCACTGTCAAGTACCAAGTTTTCTTCTGCTCCTGCAGCTGCCTCAGCCTCCCAGCGCACAGCCTGAGATCACACCCAGACAGCCCTGAGCTGTACCGAGCGCACTCGGAGTACACTCTAATTACAGCTTTGGACAAGGCCAGCCCTCATTCTTCTAACCACTTGTGGCGGGTCAGTTGATAGCCAAGGCTCCATGATAGCTGTCTGGTTTACATCCAGATGAGTCTTTTCTCGGATGCTTGCCCAAGAAAATATTTGGTTGGGATGGTGAGAGGAAGAGGCACCTCTCTCAGCGTTCCTTTCCTTGCTCAGAAATTTGATTCTTTCTCAGAAATCCCTGAGTGGACTATTAGGGTCACTGTCAAGATGCCTACTGAGGAATCTGCCAGTGCCAGCCCGCTGAGTCTCAGAGCAGTGGTTAAAGTGCCTACCTTATTGACATGTGCCCCAGGCAGACCTGCTCACAGCATCTGAGCACCTGACCTCATGCCAGACACCTCTTAAAACCTCAACAAATGTTTGTGTAGTAAATGAATTTTTTTTATATGAATGGGTTTTAAGCCTAGTACAGTGGTGTGATGGCCCATGAATAGCTTGGTTTTTTGTTTTGTTTTGTTTTTGAGACAGGGTCTCACTTTGTCTCCCAGGCTGGAATGCAGTGGTGAAATCTTGGCTCATTACAGCCTTGACCTCCGAGGTCCAGGTGATCCTCCCAGCACAGCCTCCTAGGTATCTGGGACTATGGGACAGGTGTGCACCAACATGCCCGGCTAATTTTTGTAGAGATGGGGTTTTGCCATGTTCTACAGGCTGGTCTCTAACTCCTGAACTCAAGCCATCCTCCCTCTTCAGCCTCCCAAAGTGCTGGGATTACAGGTGTGAGCCACCAGACCTAGCCATGAATAACTTCTAAAAGAACACATTGACAGAGTACTTGAAAAGATGCTCAACATCACCAATCTTTAGAGAACTGCAAATAAAACTACAGTGATATACAACTTTACACCCATTAGGATGGCTACTGTCAGAAAAGCTTTGTTTAAAAAGTAAAAGGTACCTAAATGCCCAATGAAAGGGAATTGACTAGATAGACTGTAGTATACTCATATTTTGGAATGCAGTCTGTCATTAATAATCTTTGCAAAGAGTAATGCCCTTGAAAATATTCAAAGTGACCATATGATCTTATTTCTGGAAGAAAAAGGGAAACTGTTTCTAAGTTAAAAATAGACACATAATTGGTTATCTCTGGGTGGTGGAGGAATGGACGAGTTCTTTGTTTTGTTTTTACTCATCCATATTTTCTGAACCCGTAATAAATACACAATATATGATAAGAAGAAAATGATCTTTAACTTTGTGCAAGTACTTGGGAGCCAGTGATGGATCATCCACCCTAATGTTTATTCAGAACACTACTTGCTTATTTTCACCTCTCACTTCTCATCCACAACGTATGCCAGTTAACTGACGGCCCTGGTCGTAGGAATGAGGTAGTGAATACCTGTGCCACCATGCCCAAGTTTCCACGGTGATAACATCAGCTTTCTAACCAAAATTATATTTTGTCTCTTTTCACCAAGGTGGATCCAACCGAAGAGAAAGGGGTGCTCCACCACTCCCTCCCACCCCGAGGTGATCTTTGCCTGCTCTTCTCCACCCGAGCTCAAGAGCTGCTTCTCTTGCTATCGAAGAACTGCACACCCTCCTCCACGCTTCTTTCCTTGTGTCCCTCGTATGGGCAGGAAGAAAGGTGGGAGGGTGGTGGGAATATGCGTGTGTGGGGTGGGAATCGGTAAGAAATGCACCTAGCTTTTCATATTGTGTTTATTCTCCAGGCTATTGCTTGCTTCAGCTGCACCCAGCCTGTGCTGGTTGCCTGGGTCGATTGGCTTTTGTGGAAATAGGCAGAGATGAATTGCATCTCTGCTTTCGACCAACCAAATTCAGACATTCACTGCTTATTTGCTACAGACTGTAATTATTAAAGTCCCTGAGAGCTGTTTTCTCCTTTCCTTTTTCACATGCTTGGCCTCCTATGTCCATGAACCACAAACCACCTAAGCAAGTTGCTGAGTAAGAGCTCACAGGAAACTTTTGCAGTCACAGGATGTCCAAGCTTTGGTAGTCTGAGCTCGGCTCTAGGACAGAGCTATCCAATAGAAATATAATGTGAGCCCCATATGCAATTTTTATATTTCTAGTATATTTTAAACAAGTGAAGTTAATATTTTATTTAACCCTAGACATCCAAAATATTTCAACCTGTAATCAACATAAAAATTTTAATGAGATATTTTATATTCTTTTTTGGTACTAAATCTTCAAAATCCAGAGTATATTTTACACTTACAGCCCATCTCCATTCGGACTAGTCACGTTTTTAAGTGCTCAGTAGCCGCATGTGGCTGGTGGCTACTGTATTAGACAGCATGAGTCTGGAAGATGGAAGCTAGTGCAGAAACCTCTTGTTTCAAAAGCAAAAAAAGGCAAGATGGACTTGAGTGATTCAAGAGGCAACTAAAAATAAAATTAGGACCCAGCACCTTGTTTGACACACAGTTCAACCTTAGATTTTGCTCCTTTATTTTCTCTCTTCCCTTAATATGTGTATACAAGTGTTGCTTCACGGTACCAAGGTCAAAACTGATGGAGTACAGTTTACTAAGGTCATGTGGAATAAAGCCATTGGAAAGAAACAGAAAGTCTGTCAGGGCTCCCAGGCTCAGAACCAGCTGGCTCACACGCTCACTTGTCAGTTGGACTTGTGCCTTGTGAATTGGAAGCAGCTTTTGTTCCTCTCCAGCTGAGCAAGCTCCTGAGGCTAGAAGAGACTAGGAAGGTTTGGTAGGAGGGGAAGAAAGTCAGGGAAAGGTATCAAATCAGAAACATGGAAGAAGGGAACAGATTTGAGTTGGTGGGCAAAACTAAAAATCTAGATCTGATGCTTATGTAAGGTTGAGCAAATTAGGGAGATTGCTAGTGGAACTCCTGGTAGAAATTGGAGGGAATCTGTTTTGCATCATTTGTCTAGGATCTATGCAAGTACATCTCCGCTGAAGGACCATAGGGAAGGGCCAGCCTTGCCTTTTTTTATATGATTTTGTTTACACTTTTTCTGAGATTTTAAATCTAGCTATAGAGTTGGGAAAAAAAGTATTTCCACATAGATATTTTATATAGTTATGTTTAAAATTACCATTACTTGTTTTTTAAAAACACATGACCACGTATGTATATGTATATCTACCCAAACATTGTATCATGGTTTCAGTGTGGTGTTCATGTATTACTGGGAGATGCTAACAAGAAACCAACCCAAAGAGAATCCTGAAAGATGCATTTCTATTTATAAAATAAATGTTTCATTTATATAAAAGAAAAAGAACTTAAGAGTTCTAATAAATGGGATGTCTAATAAATTATGAAGTTACTGATTTGAATATATTATATTTTTATAACTTCCTTGCCAAAGTCCTAGGTTTAGTACATTAGAGAATGTGTTTCCTCTCTCCTTTACCACTCATCCGTCTTCCATACAGTCATTTGGGCTTTTTACTCAAAGAGAATCAAGAAATAGTAAGGTGTAACAAGCTTGACCCAGTGTTCGCTTAAAAAAGAAAATTAATCTCTAGCATTTTGGTAATTTAGCAGCATCATTTATCTGGGATTCTTTGATCTGATTTCGACAGTGAAAAACATTCTTATGATAAAGCCAAATGACCCACTTCACAAAAGATGGAGTTTGTTTGCCCTTCCTAGAAAATATGGCAAAGAAAAGTCTGACCCAAAGAAAGTGGGTCTGAATTTTATAAGGGGTAGTAAGAATTGGACAATTCCTTTATCTATCCCAACTTTGCTGGTACTATTCTAAATTTGAAACAGAGTCAGAGCCCAAAGTTGCCATTCACCTGGAATAGAGATGTTTTAGTCTGTATTTTTTAAGTGAATGTTTCTTTAATACACCTACACCCTTTCTTTTAAAGTTTGCAACCTAATTGCATCTAAAACTTTGAATAAATTCTGTGGTAAAATCTTAAACTATTGAAAATCACAAAAATGAATATTTTCTTCCCTGAAATCAGAGCTTACATGTGTTTTTTTTCCATAAAATTTCCAGATAAATGTATTCAATATGTAATACGGTATTTTAACATTCACCTATTATTTTATATTGAAATGTATTACAGTATTAAAACTCAGTGTTCAGTATTTATTTCACTATGCATTTTATTTAGGAAAAAGCCAAGAAAAATGTTTAATAATCCAATGGTGCCTTACTTTGTGATTAAAAGAAATCAACTTTTTTTATGTCTAAGTAGCAGATTGTTTGCGTATTTGTAAAAACTGTTAGGTCTTTTTATTTTAAATTGTAATACCAGTTTTGTTTATTTTAGTAGCAGAAATGGGATGATTGTTGTTCCCAAAAAAAATGTTGGCATGAAATTAATTTTTCCCTCCTTATAGTCAAGAACTATAGAGGAAGAAAAAAAATGTTTTCATACCATGCACTATGTAAACAGACACATTATGGTATCTGTGTCATCAGGATAATGTAAATGGTAGCGTGGAGACTACCCTAGACAGCTGCATCTTTGTACGTTAGCCAGACAATAAATAAAAGCAGAATGATATGGTGTCAACTGGTAGTTTTTCTTTTAAATACTGTTTATGTAAATATAAACAAAAAAAAAAACAAGTGTCTGTTTTCTGTTTTATACTGTGGAAAAGAAAGACAAAAAAAAAAGCTTTGTATGAGTAAGTAAATATTCATTGCACCTACTTGCTAATCCCATCTTTTCTGAGAATCTGCATCTTAGTCAAAATCTGTTTACTTGAGGTAGATGTTTCTACTTAGGAGGTAAAGATGGATGGTAGAAGCAATGGAAGATGAAACTACAAAGACTGGCCTGGTTACTGATCAATACAGGAAAGGCCAGTGGGAATTTAGGAGCCTGATAATAGTGTTCTTAATTATCTGCTGTGTGTGTATATACAGATCTCAATACAGAAGCATAGTTAAGAGCCTAGGAGACCTGGCTCCATGTCTTACTTGCAAGTCACTTCACTAAACCTGTTTCCTTACCTATAAGGTAAGGAACTATCTTATAGAATTCATATATGCATTAAATGAGATAATGTACTCAATATTTAGCCTTAGTGTTAAGCACACAATAAGGAGTAGCCACTAGTGTGAGGTAGAAAACAAATATTTATATAATGATCCTAAATTAATTGGAGCCAAATCCACTAGAAGGGAATTTACTAGTGTACTTTTAAAGGAAAGGAGCTCTAGCTCCTAGATTGAAAAAATATCCATATCAGAAATGCAAAGCAACCTCTACACAAGGGTCACCTCACCTACTGTCCGCCCTGTACCCCCAGGCCTGGAAAATGAAATTTTACAGTGCTTCAGTCATCAAAGAAGTATTATTAGGTTCAATAAGAAATAACAGAAATTAAGAGCCAGTAAGAACCTCACAGATAGGGCAACCTTAGAATTTATGATCCACAGTGGAACATGTTTGAGAGCGGAAGCAGTGCTAATAATAGGTGCAGTGGCACAACAGGTATACATCTGGATTGCCTTGGAAGATTGGGCCTCAGAGGTCATCCAGTCGAACCATCTGTGCTCACAGGTGGGTAATTTAAGGCCCCAAATGATGCACTGATGATGGACAAGCAGTGTGACTTCTCACTGTACTGTCCCATCTTCATAGTCCTTACTGCCTCTCTCTCTCACTGTTTCATGTGTCTTTCACATTGGCTGGAAGGGAAAGGCCAAATGAGAGTTTACAGCATCAGAGCAAAAGCCATTTGCTCACAAACCTGCATTTGGATTCTGGCTCTGCCACTTGCTCCCTGCAAGGCCATAAACAAGTTATTTCAGTCCTCTGAGTTCTAGCTTCCTTGACTACAAAATGGCTACAAAGCTTAAATAATACACACCCAGAAGCTTTGTAGGTGGTTTATTGAAAAATATATATTTTTTAAAATAAATAAGTAAATATGCAAACACCAAACAAGATACCTGGCATATGTTAGGTACTCAGTGAGAATTAATTCCATTTCATTTTTTAATCCTTTTGCCATCAAACCTAGGCCATATTCATGACAGAATTCTCAAACGCAGCCAAAGAAGTGTAACAAAATTCAGTTACAGAATCTTTAGGAATAAAAATTGCTTTCAAGTCTGATCTCATTGGTTCAAAGTGGAATTATTTATTTGATTCACCCATTTAATAAATTTTTTTATTAAATGAGCCCTTACTGTTGACCAGCTTCACCTCAAATGACCTATTCATAACTGGATCCCCACCATGACTGTAGTGGTCAAGTGATTTCTGAGTGGCATGGACGCAACTTATGCCACAGAGGGCTTCCTACTAGGGGTGAAGGCACACATTTCATACGTTCTTACCCCCTTAAGTAATTTATTTGCTTTCTTTTTTTCTAATCTCAATGTCATGGTAAATAACACTAGTTTTTAAAAAATTGTTAAACCTACAGGAAACTTGGGGGAAAAAACAGTATTTGGAAAGATTTTTGATGACCAATAAATTACATCTTTTGGGTTCAGATTAATTTTAAAGGTAAATTCAACGATTCCAAGTTACCTAAACATTCCAACGAATTGAAGTCTCCCTGGGTACCTAATAGTCTCCGGTTCCCTTCTCCCTTGTCTTCCCCACAGCTTCACTTCCCTCCAGCCTGAACACATGGCATTTAATGTCTATGTCTGGACTTAGATTTAGCATGTATGTGTTCTCTTACTGATAAATGTTTAGAAATGTTCCATCCATCAACATTATAGCACAAATACCTTTGTCTTAAAATATGGCTTCCATTATTATAGAGGTGCATTTACAAGAAGTTAATTCAGCTCAAGCTTTGGGATCCCCCACTTGCAAGGAGGGTTGGTTTCTGTTTTATTATTTTTTTTATTTTAGAGAGTCTCACTCTGTCACCCAGGTTGGAGTACAGTGGCATGATCACAATTCACTGCAGCCTCAGATTCCTGAGCTCAAGCAATCCTCCTGCCTCAGACTCCTGAGTCACTGGGACTGACTACAAGTGCACAACCATGCCTGGCTAAATTTTACTTTTTTTTTTTGTAAAGAGGAATGATCTCACCATATTGCACAGGCTAGTCTCAAATTCCTGGCCTCAAGCGTCTCCCACCTCAGCCTCCTAAAGTGCAAGGATTACAGGTGTGAGACACTGTGCCTGGCTGGGGCTTCTAGTTAAGTACTCATTTTCATGTCTAGTTTTTTTATTTGTGATTTTATATTATTTTTCTTAAATAGGACACCTTATATTGTCTAAAGCTTCAGATCTCACAAAACCTGGACCTGCCCTAGCAATTCTGCCTTGCTCAGCTTCTGGTGGAGAACTCAACAAAAGTGAATGTCTTTAAAACTTTAAGCCATCAGCTTCCTGTGAGTGACAGATATAAGAGAGCCAAAGTGTTTGCCTCCTTTGTCCTCCCTAAGTGACCTGTAAATGTTTCTAAAATAACGTGGTCATTGCATTGCCCACATTGCATTAGAGTCAAAAGCCCCAGAACATGACCTATCTAGGAAAATAATTTGAACTTTGAGGTACCTGGAAAACAAGCCCAGCTGTTATTAGCCGTTGAGCTCAAATTCAGCTTCAGTTTTGGCCGGGAAGATGCCTGCCAGAACACCTGGAATATCCATCATGTACTTAACATAAATACATTTTAGTCATAGAGGCTCCCACCCTTTTCCTGTTTTCTGTCTGCCTTGGTAAGTTAAAGGTCACCCATCAAAATGCTATCTATTTCAGATCAGTTTCAAAAACAAACAGCAGCAAATAATTGGGAAAACGTACATGATTTAATGTACTATGTACACTTTGATATTTACTTGTATATTTACTTACTCAAATCATCAACAAACAGTGGCTGAGGAACTACAGTTTATTAAAGCTCTAGGAATATAAAGACATACATGATACAACAGGAGGTTTTTAAGTACTAGTCCCAGAACCAAGTAAGAGATTAAATTCTAGATCTAACAAAAACTTCAGCCAGTAGGTACAACCCAACCCCATCCTACCACTGGTTCTGGAATGCGCTTCACCACAGACATAGGCCTGTTTGGTTGGCTGTGTGCACACAAGGAAAATTCCTGCTTATGCTTGCTCCTTTGAGATTTACTCTTGGAGCAAAAGCATGGACAGTCCCAAAGGAGGCCACCATGGGGAAAATGAGAAACATCTAACACAATAATGAAAACAGTAATTTTATACCATCAAGACACACTACCATGACCAGGCACAGTGGCTCACACCTGTATTCCCAAGACTTTGGGAGGCTGAGATGGGACGATTGCTTGAACTCAGGAATTCGAGACCAGCCTGGACAACATAGCCAGAATCTGTCTCAAATAAATTTTAAAAATCAGCTGGGCATAATGGCATGTGCCAGTAGTCCTAGCTACTCTGGGGGCTGAAGCAGGAGGATCACTTGAGTCCAGGAGTTTGAGGTTGCAATGAGTTATGATTCTGCCACTGCACTCCAGCCTGGGTGCCAGAGACCCCATCTCTTAAAACAATAAATTTTTTTTAAAAAGAAGACATTCTGCCTAATTTATATATCTGAATAACAATGCATATATGCATTTCTTTTTCATATAACCAGCACCAATTATTGATTCCCAACTATGTACTATACAATTTGAGCTAGGCTCTTTACAAATATTATTGCCAATCTTTGTGTCTTTACACGTAGAGAAATCAAAGCCTGAGTGGATTCGAAATTTGCATCAAGCCACTTGCCTTGAGTGGATTGAGAATTCAAACTCAAAGCTCCCGGACCGAATTTGAATGGGGAGTCAGATCACTGTCAACTTTTCATTTGTCAGTTTAAAAAAATACCGACATTTCATATTAGTAAGAACCTTTTAATGAGCCAAGACAATGGAAGACCTCATTTGAGAATGAGATAGTTTCCACCTAAACATAGGTGGAAAGCTCCATTGTCCTCACTTTCCTCACTGGGCTGTGGACTGGCTCTGCATTTACCACCTGGTGCACACAGCTTCTTGGATGTCATCTAACTTCTTTTGGTTCTTTGCAGTTTAGGGGGTGGTTATAATCCCTCCCTTGAAGTTTACATAAATTTGCTTTTCAGTCCATCTTATCAGATACCTGCTACCTTTTAGGTGATTTCAAAGGCGCCAATAAAATTCAGATGTCATTTCTTTAAGCAGTTATAGGTTGCGGGAAATCCCCATGTCAGAATCGAACTGCTGTGTGCCTAATTTGCTTTCTTGTGAATCTCTATTCCTTTATACTGTTCATTATTTATAGGATATTTCTACTGTTTCCATCATAAATGTGTAGTATTGAATTTCTTTTTCACTCTTCTTGGAGCTGGAAAAGTCATGTGGCTCTTTTAAATACCAAATAATAGGATTTGCTTTTCGGTAAGAGCCGGAAGTAAACCTTGTGTTCTTGGCTTCAGTCATACTACCTAACACTCAGTAGAGCAAAAAGACAGTCATATTCAACAAAATTGACAAAAAGTGGCTCCACAGTTTTCAGGCACTTTTACATACCTTATGTCATGTGTACTCCACAGCAGCCCTCAGTAGGAGGAAGGAGGA